TTTAAATGCCTCTTATCATCAAAATTCTCATTTCATTACACAAATTAAACCATAATTTACTATTGCTTGCGCAATTTTATATTTATAAAATTATATAATATATAAATGTACTTTCAATATTTTAGTTTATTATTCTAACTGAAAAATAATATCTAATTTGTTTTGGTTCTAGTTCAAAGTTTAAAATTGATCTTTAAGTCTAAACAAAGTTATTATATTTTACCTGGTTGAAACAATTACAGTTAAAATGCCTTTTATTGATAGCCAAACACCAAACCGTTTGGTTTCACATAACCAGTGATCAAAAAGTTTACTTTTCCAAAACATCCTGTTCATTTCTGTCAATTAGATGCAAATGTAACTGAAACTGTATCAGGGCTATTATGGCACTGGTGTTTGTGGTCACACTTTAACCACTAATAAATTGTGTACTTTTATAATAAAGTAATTAAAAACTAATTTACATAATTATTAATTAACAGTTCAACCCTTTTAAATACTATACGAAATAGCAAATTAATAGTTAAATACTTAATTCTTAACTAAATTTAGATAATTATGAATTAAAATAACTTAATTATTTGTTACATAAATACAGTGAAAATATTGAATAAATCTTCTCTAATCTTATAGTCCAGACGTCACTCGACTTGTGAGACAATGACTGCGTTTGTGAAGACATTCACCGATTCATACGAAACCATCAGTCGGTCCGCAAACACACGCAACAAATACTTCGCTTAAAATACCGGCAAAAGTGCCGATTATTATGCATTAAACAAGTGGTCAAACATTGGATTTACTGGCAAACAGTAGTTCACATCCAATAACAGCTAACAATGATTATTAAAAGCCTATTACTATCGAAAGTGGGCACATCCCTGGCCAAGAGGAATGACATGAAACGCATATTCATATCTCTAAACATATTTGCATTGATTTTGTTACTCCTATACGTCATGATAAGTGTCGCCGTATTCATGAACAACGTGTCGGTGCCCACGATAGCCGTGAATACCGTTCCCGACAAATACGACTCAGTACTCAACGCCATCGATGCGGAGATCCAGACGCTGGACCTATACCTCGACGGCCTGACCCTCCGGTCGCAACACTTAACCAAAAACTCATCGCAACTCATATTCCCGGCCGAAGTGCAGGACATGACCCGTACGGCCGCCATAGCCAAGGGCTGGTGTACACCACGTCTAGGGGCCGACCTCCAGGTGTTGGTAATGGTGTTGAATCGCGTGGACGACTTCCAACGCCGGGCGACACTCCGGCATACCTGGGCTCAGGACTTCCAGTCGCCCAACCGGTCGAAGCTGTACTTCGCGGTCGGGCTGTCCCGAGACGAGACGGTGCAGCGCCGGCTGGTGGCCGAGGATCTCATGCACCACGACATCATTCAATGGAGTTATTACGAGTCGTACTACAACTGCTCCATCAAGTCGTTGGCTATACTCCGGTGGACGGCAACCAACTGTCCGCTCGTGAAGTACGTGCTGAAGGCCGACGACGACAGCCTTATTAGAAGTGATAAACTCATTGATTTCGTGCGGCAAACGCCCGGTGCGGACACCATCTACGGCCACATGTGGACGAAGCCCGGGGTGTTTCGCACCGGCAATAAGTGGTCCATAAATACTAGTGTAGGTGCCATCCCTATCCACATATAATGTATATGTTTGTGTGATTAATACCCATGTTTTGTGTGTCTTAGGATTATACGGATGACTATTACCCGGATTATATCGGTGGTCCGTGGCTGATACCGGGGCCGAAGGTAATGGTGCTCTACAGCACGGCTATACTTAAGTCATTGCCGGCCCTACCCTTCGAGGACGCCTACATCACGGGAATCGTGGCCTCGAAGGCCAACGTGAACCGGGAGTCGATGCCGGGGATCATGTACCTGGACTACCGGTCCAACTGTGATATTGAACGCCTGGACCTGTGCTGGTACGACAGGTACTCGATCTTCTGGCAGGGGATCAACGATAGCTCAATGACTCTGTTTTACAACCGCATCACCCGTTTTGACGCCAAATCCTGCACTAAATTCTCGTTTCATTACTTGTATAATGTTTTTGACTATTATTTTAACTTAATTTTTAATGGATATAAGACCTGTGTTTTGGTTTAACCTTTGTGTGTGTGTGTGAGTGAGTGAGTGAGAGAGAGAGAGAGAGAGAGAGAGAAAGAGAAAGGGAGAGCACAGGAAGTGGTTTGAAAAGTATCATATAATTTAGAGATTATTTTTATGAGACTCATGAATGCCTTATTGCCATCAAGGTATTGTATTTTTATCAAAATGATTTTTAGATAATGTTAAATTATTTGTATAAATATAAAGCTTTTTGAATAATGATTTTTTACTAGTCAATAGTGAATATGATATATGAAATAATGCATATTGTACAGTAAGTTAGTCACAAATATAATTATTAATTTATTTTATCAGTCATATGTTCATAAATAAAACTGTTTTAAAAACTATTGCAGTAATACTACACTTGAATACAATGCCATAAATGGCAACATTTATCACTTATTTATCCCTCTTTTCGAGACCCAAAACCACTTCTTTGGGAGAGAAGAAAGCGTTTCCCATATAATACTCGAGGTGTGGGTCAGAGGCACTCGTTTTGAAGCGAAAGTTTTGCACCAATTTTGTCAAACATAGCCTCATCTCGATTAAGGCGAACCTCATGCCCAGACACATGCGGGGACCGCCACCAAAGGGTAACAGTGCGTACGGGTGTGGCAACGGTGAGTCCACAAACCTGTCCGGGTTAAACGTGTGCGGGTCCGACCACCACCTACTGTCCCGGTGCAGCGTATACGGCGTTACCGTACATATAGTGCCCGCCGGGACTAAGATGTTGTTGAGTGTGATGTCGTGTTTGGCCACCCGTTCCACTCGCAGGACAGGCGGTGCCAATCGTAACGACTCGTGGATCACGGCGTTCAGATAGGGAAGGGTCGCCAGAGTGTCAGCGCTGAAGTCGGCGACCGACTCCACCTCGTCGTACAGTTTGCGTTGAATGTCGGGGTGTTTGGACAGGTAGTGCAGTGTGTGGGCCAGGGCTGAGGTGGTCGTGTCGAAGCCGGCGACGAAAAACAGTATACACTGTGCGGTCATCTCAATGGTGGACAGTGTCTGGCCGGCCGTGGGTTTGGGCTCCGGTATGTCGTGGCTCTCGAAGATCTCTTTGATGTCGTCGGTGACGAGCGCGTCGTCCGACTCTCGGTTCGCGTCAATCATTATCTGCAGAAAGTCTTTGCGTTTCTTACCTATGGATCAAATGTCAAATGTTTTTTGGGTTTAATTGCATAATAAATAAAATATTTTTAGCTTTTAAACAGACTTTCGGTGAGATTTTCTTCGACCCGCTCTTTGACTAACTTATGGGTCAACTCTTTGAAGTAATTGATCGCATCGGTGGGGAAGGGCTGCACTCGTAATAGTTTGGCCACATTTGGCAACATTACGGACAAAATCAATGAGAACTTAGACTCGACGGCAAACACTTTGCGCCCGAACTCCACAATCGGTTGATTTGGATCCTTCAGTGCATTGGTTTTGATGCTAAATGCAAATGAATTGATGGCATCCGTCAGGAAAGCCGACAAAACCCTTTTCACATCCAATTCAATGCTACCTAAATGTCGTACAAAAATATTCAACCAGTTAATTAAAGTTTCTCCGTGTAAATGTAACTTTGGTAGTTCAAAATACAATCAACTAGTAATTTGAAATTAAAATATATTAGTAAGCTTAATATAAAAATTAAATAGTTTGCCTATATTATTTATACAGTACATGTAAATTACAAAATAATAATTATTAAGCGTTAAATCCTCCAAAAATAATGTACTTGAGTTAACTATACTCAACTTAAAATAATTTTAATTTAAATTACAGTTTATTATTTTTACATAAACTTATGAAATAATTTTCATGACCAGGTCTTTTATCAGGTTTTGTGAATTTACTTAATAAATAGATATTTGGAGTTAAATTCTTTATAAAATTAATAAAAACTTTAGAAATAAAAATAAATTGATATTTTATATTTATAAATATATCGAAACATAGCCAAAAATAATATAGTATAAATACCAAAATTCACAAAACTGACACACTAATTATAATTTAGAATACAGTTCTAATAACTTATTATCTTATATTTATAAGTCTATTGTAAAGTATGTATAGTTAACTGCATTGTATTTTATAATTATTAGATGACATGCCTTACCATTAGTCTGTGTCTCATCAAACAGATGCCCCAAACTGTGGACAAACTCATCGCCAATGATCTCGATGTACGGCATCATAGCCTTCATCTTGGATGAGGTGAACGCCGGCGAACAGACACTACGGATCCGTTTCCACCGGTCGTCCCCTTTCAGGTTAAAGAGATTCAAATTGATTGAGTCCTCCCCGAAGTACATCTCGCGGTTGTCCCGAAACACATCGAAATGGCGGACAAACACATCCCTAATCACATCGGGATCGTTGATCACAAGCCCCCGCCTGAAGAACTCGTAGTAGCCATAGATGTGACCAAACTCTTGGAAATTTTTCAGATCATTCTCGTGTACGAAACCCGGCTTTAAAATAGAGGGCTCCAGTCCCTCGTGACCGGCCACTCCCTGGCGCTCCCAGAATGTGAACCGATGTTTTAGGTACCTGGTGATTTAATTAATTTTCTAGTTATAATTATTATTAATAGTTTATTATATTTAATCGACATTATTAGTAGTATGTAAACAATTTTAAAATATATTAATTACTAACAAAAGAAATTAATGAAACTATTTTAGTATTTTATAAAATACATACTTTTTTGTTAAATAATATATTGAAATAATACTTATGATAGCCGTAATGGCAAACATATTGCAGACTTTTTCCATTGAAATATTGCAGGTGTATTGCACAGGTAGTCAGACAGACATTAATTGTTTACTCATTTCAGTGTTGAATTTATATATGAGTTATGTTGGCAAAGTTTGATTTCACGTTTCATCAGAAACATTTTTTATTAACACTTCTATTGTTAATCTCATTCATAAGTATTCACTGTTTAAAGCATCAGAATATAAGAGTTAGTATTTTCAGTAATAAATATAAAGGTTGTGTTTGTTTTCAAAGATTAGTTTGAGATAAGTATTGCATAATACAGAGTGACATAGAAATCCTTTTATAAGCACTTTTTATTGCATAAAATGATTAAAATTTTGTTTAAAATATTTGTTTCCTGGAAGTCATGAATAAAAATAAATAAAATCTATTTAATATGAGTTTTACAAATAAGGCGATCGTATTATTAGCATAGCCAATTAATTATAAATTACATTAACCTCGCAATAGCTGCCCACCCTTGATATACAGGTGCCAATACAGTTATCGGTTAAAAAGTGATACTTCTTATCACTTATCGGTTAATTATTGATAAATAAAGTAATATTACTTGAATTGTAAACTTGTATAACATAATTTATACATTTATTTGGTATTAGAATATAGATTTATAAAAATATAATTAAATTATTATATAATTACATTAACAGTACAGTAAATAAAGGGTTCATTCAAAAGCACTAGCAATGGATTGACTGTATGTTTGACTGCTTTCTACTCCATTTGAATCGATTTTGTGGCGTTAAGTGTATTGTATGGACAGCCTTATTATTTTATTAGATAAACCTAGATGCGGTTTAGTCATAACAAATAACTACTTTAAATTAAATAACAGTATTAGATTGCATCAACGTTCATTGCGAGCACAAGTGTCAACCAAATTGCCTGGATAATCTTTATTTTATAAAACGGTTAGAAGGTCTTGATGAAACATTATCGTTTCCAGACTACTTATCCTTAAATTATGGTCCATAAGTATTAAGCATGGTAGTGATCCTGATCAGATTCATTTCATTCAAGTTCAATACTGGAGGGCTTATAGGTATGTGGCTAGGGGTGTCGGTGCTGTATATATATTATTACAATAACAGTGGGCAGAGGGTTTTAATTTATGATAACCAACCATTTGAGTCCATTTATTTGAGCGTTGATTGTAAGTGCATAATATAAATGTTCTTACATGTACTAGCTAACTATTTGATTTTCAAGATCCGTACAAGTGTTTAGCGAATTTAATCCGAAATACAAACACTTGAAACTATATTCACCCACATTTGTCCTTAGCCTCAAACATAACCCACAATTATTTCCGTTATATTTCACAATCAGATCCGTGTATTCATACGCTCAGCCAATCGGTTGCCATATATGATGGACGAGATGAGGGGCGATGTTATTAAAGTGAGTTTTGGGCGTCAAATAAATCTCGAGTACAACGAAATCCAGACCCGACTCTTACCGCCATTATATGAGACTAATTGTCGTGAATATTGATTAAATACTGACAACACGTCCGATATATCGCGAACTGACTGTATGTTTGATTGCTTTCTACAAAATTTGATCCGATTTTGTGGCATTAAGTGTATGGCTTATGGCAATCACTTCGTTAATCGTTTCGGTGGAAATAGGGGTGAATTTATGATGACCAATCATTATTTGCGATTAAACAGCTTGCTCAAATTCTGTAATGATCAAGAGAAATGGATATTAATAGGATATACCACTTGCTACGCAATGAACCTGGTTAAATTGCATATTGGCTGCGAACACAAGTGTCAACCTAATTGCCTGGATAGTCACTATTTTGTTAAACAAATAGAGGGCCATGATAAAGCATCACCTTTCCCCGATTATTTATCCATACATCTTAAGCATCGCATTGAGCCTGATCAAATTATCGAGCATATGTCAGAGATAACCTTTATTTCATTCGTGTCTAATATGCGAGGCCTTATAGGCATGTGGTTAGGGGTGTCGGTGCTGTTCATCAGCGAGTATATCATTAAAATTTTATGAAAATAATATGAAAACTATTTTTGGATCCGATTATTATCTTCATGACATTCACAACATTTGTACCGATTATTAGGTCTGATGTCCTTAATGTAAATAATCGTTCCCTAAAGTCCTCAACAAGTTTATGGACTTTTTCTTGAAAAATATTTTTACAATTTATATAAACGGTTATAAGAATTATAATGTATTACATTATTAGATAACAATATGTACAATTAGCAATACAGTATTAATTTTCTTATAGACTTAACTAGCACTTACCTTTATACTGGCTGATTATTCAATAGTAAACTGGTGCAAGCACAAGTGTATTAAATATTGATAAATTATAAAAATAGAAATATTTTGAAAATAATTAGATGTAATATTTATTGAAAATATTGTTAAAATATTTTTAATTAATAAGGTTGTGTGATCTTTTATTTGTTATCATAAAATAATAAAACAACACAAAATTAAAAATCTTTATAACAGATTATAAACGCAATATTTTATATTTATTGTGTGGTTATAAAAGTGATTTTTATAAAGTTTTATAAAGTTTTAATTAATAAATAGTGAATATTCAAGTGCACATACAATATAAAATTAATTTTAAAATTATACAAATTAATGCATTGACAATTATAAATATTTAGAAATTATAAATTTGAATTAATAATAAATGTGAGCATTTGCATTTATTGTACCATAAAATACAGATCAATAAAATATATTAACATAAATATTTTAAACACTTGATTTATAATTGTTAACTCATTATATTTTCATCTTATTTATTGCAATTGGGCTCAGGGTGGGGTACTAAACACCAGGTACATTTTGGTTACACCTGTGAACTCTTTATCCCACACGCGATAAGATATACAACCAATTGCTTAAATACCACTCAAATAGTCGCTAAGAATAAAAG